ACCGGTGATAATTTACGTGCTGGGGTATTTTTTTTATTTTTTGAACAGTTGGGATATATTTTTTATATATGGCAAAAGCTGGGTCATTTTTTTTATTCTCTCAAACTTATCTTATTTATTTTCGGAGCTACATGATCCTCCCTAAATATGCTGCTGCTATCCTCTTGTAATCGCCCAATTAACTTTCTCGTCTAATCATCACTGACGCCATTTAGTGACGGCATAGACTCACCGTATCTATCGCGAGGTCGTATTCAAAGATAACAAGACTGGTGAAGTCAAATCAAGTAGGCTGGGTTATAAAGGAAATGCTAGCTACGTTAGAAGACAATGAAGTTTGGGTATTAACGGTGTCTCGCCATGCACGCTTGCCGCACGAGTGGAAAGGACTACGGTGAAATCGCAACTGAATCGAAAAAATCATGATTTCCAAATCTACATGAATGTAAACACTAGAGCGTCAAGAATTTTTATACATTGATGCAGAAGTGAACCTTGGACCTGATAGATAAGACCTTGGGCACACTGAGGTTGAACCCGCGCGAGCCAATCACCGCGGAGAAACTTTCCACGAAGACTTCGAGTTCAACTTTCTCGAAATTCTTCAGACAGAGGACGTTCGTGACATAATTCAGGGATGTCACGCGTACATGTGGGATTTATCGTACTGTAATCCAATTGTTATTTGTCCCCAAAATACACCTCGAAGCCACATAGATCCACCGTCATAGTACAGACTGGGCTTGTACTTTCTACCCACGAACGGAAGTAAGCGCCGCTGTTTTTAATGACATTCGTGTAAATTCGATTTTATATAGGCTATACTGAACATATATGCTCTACAATTACTGTTATTATTACTAATGTGTGGCTAACAACAGCCCATGTGTACCACGGACCCCTCCTTCGCGGAGTTCTATCATCTTCATCAATGCCTACTTATCAATACTCTCAATCACTTAAAAGTCCAAAGTGAATTCTTACGATTTGTAGAATTGTATTTTGCAAAAGTGAACATAATATGCAACAACTGGTGAAAAGACACATTGTAACGCAGTGGAGGATACAGGAAGGATGGAGCACATCATTTTTGAAATTTGAATTTGCGTTTGCTAAAGCACCAAATCATCAATCATGAACAGGTGATACGTTGTATTGAGACTAAACGCGTACGTACCGCCCGCAACGCCGACTTCTACGCACACAGTGGGATAGATGCAGTAACATAATAATCTCATTTACGTAGCATACTGTTATATCAATTCGATCTGATGTCTGGGATACAGGAAATACGTGATTCAGACGCTATATAGGTATATTTAGTAGGCTAACGAGACATAACATTCTGAAACCGGAAGGACAGACGAGCTAGTGTCTTTGTTTCATTTTATTAGAAAATTCTTCTTCACTGCTCGTGATATCATACCGCATGCAGAGATCAGAGGTACCCTCAGTTGTTCACAATATTGGGTTGAATTGCTGCTATCGCGATTGCGGCAGAGTTTCTATTTTTTTTAATATCCAAGAGATCCCCTTCTCTCTAGCTATCCTTGTTGAGTAAAACCTTTGAACGGCTCTCTTAATTGTCACCAATCCTTTAGGTGATGGCTGCATCAAGTCCTGGCACAACTTTTTAAATATCGACGGGCAGACCACTTCTAGAGCCGATATGTTCAAGCCGTTTTAAATTTATATATATGTTTTATTTGTACTCTATTTTCATCTAGCCGAAATGACTAACACATCTTGTCATCAAATATATGAAAGCCTTCTGTGTTTGCCTATAGTGGACAGTTGTTTGGATATATATGTATGAGTACGTGTCTGTCACGACTGCATGACGCGTTGAGACGAATTTTGTGTACACACCGGTAAGCGAGTAAATTTTCATGTGTTTGCCCACCCGGCTGATTACATACGGTCCAGATGTCAGAATGACTCTCTCTGAACGACCGCTCATTACTCTGCAATGTATCAGCTGAAAATAAATTGATTCAACACTCAAGTCCTACAAGTTTTGCTAAGAAAACATATTTTTTTAAACTAAGAAAAGTACGTCATTTTCATGAAGAAATATAATATCCTTGGTATCAGACCAATTTCTGTCAAGAAACCTGACTCATCCCTAATCGCTTTTTTTCCTCTGCCATTGGCAACACAGACAATGTGCTGTTCATAAATAAAACTTTGGGAGAGGCACTGACAATTTTACCTTCTATTGGCGCAGTCATCTGATCGACGACCGTACAGTAAGTGTATGTAGTCTTATTATGGCATCAGATGGAGCTTTGCGGTTTATAATACTGCATGATCTATGCCTTCTATAGCATATACTCGGCTGCGACAACACGTTCCTCTCTCCTTTTCTGATTATGAAACGCTGATAGCTTATGCCGCTTGATATATTTATATCAAATAGAAAATGGGAGTATCTACGCAAAAATTCACTTCACATCTCTCGATCAGGTTTAGGGTTCCAAAGAATCTGCTCAGTCATCTGGGTTGCGCAAGGACAATTCTTCGGAGTCAAGGTGGCATTAGCAGTCAGTTGAATCAAAGTTTGCACGTCCGCCGCGCACTTTAACGTACACTCACCGACGCAACATTTCGCTTTAACAGTGTCTTTAAATCATTTGCCGTCCTGTATCCATCCGAATTAGAGGCCAGGTGCCAACTTCTTTCTTTCCCTTCCCAGTATGATGACAGCTCAGCAGAGCGCCGACCCAGTTCAACCTTTTATATACGCACACAGTACGCGCACGGACGCACTTACATCTCCCTTGCTCCCAAGCTCCCCCTCCTCCACTGCCGACAGTACTATTGAGACTACAGTGTCTGGGGGTACTGCAGTCATCTCCTCCACGTCGCCTCCAGCCGCCACCAAGAAACGCAAGCAAGCCCCAAGTCCTACGGAAGACAACAGTGGTAATGAAAGTATCATTGCGCGTGTTAGAACTAAAGATCAGCAGCAGCCATCCAAAAAGTCGCGTCGTGAGCTGCCGCCTCATACCGTCGCCATTCTTAAAGGATGGATGTTATCCCGTGAACATGTGAAGCACCCATACCCTACTGACGAGGTAGGCTTTCGACTATTTTGTTAAGTGTATGTGTGTCGTGTGTCTAACATTTAGTATTGATGGTAATGTTGTGCGGTTATAATATTAGGATAAGCAAATGCTGCTTAAGAAGACGGGTATTAGCATGAAACAGCTGACAAATTGGTTTACGAACGCGCGCAAGCGCATATGGAAACCCATGATGCGACGGGAACATTCACGACAATTGCAGTCTGCCATAAATTTTGACCATACGGTGATGCGTGAATTTCCGGGAGCTGGACGATGTCAGCAGTACGCAGACAGCAGTTATGCCCCTCGTGCGACCGTGCGTCACTCGTTTGACGCTGGAAGCCTGGGCGCATTACCTCATCCGGTGGCAACAGCGCCCGATAGATTCACACGGACACAAACCTTTTCGGTGAATGCACCCATTTACCCGACACGTGTTGGGCGTTCCATGTCGGAAGCTCCGGCTAGAGCTGAAATGGGCAATTATTTGGAGCCAGAACAATTTCGTGGGCGCGGTCACAATGGATACCTACCACCCAACAGTCTCTCGCCGCATGGACACAAGATTCTACAGAAGTGGGTCAGCTCAAACGCTCAACGAAAGTATCCGTTTCCAAACGAAACTGAGCGATTGCAACTTTCTAGGGAAACAGGTCTCGATGTATTACAAGTTGACAAGTGGATCACCAGTATTCGCGAGCAAATGGGCACCACCATTGTCCGTGTGCCATCATCGATTCCACTTTCAGGAAACACGGTGTTTACTTCGCCGTCTACCTACGGTAAGTGTCGATCTATTCCATCCAGCGGAAATCCCATGTTTCCACCACGTCCTACTGTCCCTGCAACGTCAAGACCATCAATCATATCAGCTGGGGGTCCACAATTTCCTCCGCTTTCTGCTCGTCAATTAGCCAACGAAACTCGATTCGAAACAATTTCCTCTGCTTCGCCTTACCCAAATAACGAGATGCGAATACGATCGATGACAATCAGTGCCGGGTCTTATCTGCATCCGCCCTCAACTTCTGAATTTGCAAGCAGTGACTCTCGACCTGAGCAGCAGTCAGCCGGTGGTGCTTTGCCTTCGATCTCCAGCCGCAGCTTGATGGGCCGTCCACCACCAATTGGTGCATCAAATGGCCCCACGATGGGCTACCCGCGTGACGGTCGATCGCGTACGCTCGACATGGGCCAGTTTGCAGAAGCACGACGACGAAAAATGACCTTTCAGGACATTTTAGCGTCTACGGGCGGATCCACAAGCAGCACCGAACAAGCTGCGACCACAACAGGCGCGTTGTTGAGTACTTCAAGTTATGTAACTGCTAGCAGCAACGACGTGGAAAACTTATACCCGAATAGCACTTCAGCTACAACGTACGAGACTTCGATCTCTGGTGAAATTCAGCCGAAGCATTCGTCAATCTGCAGTCTGGCCGAGTAACTTGACTGTGCGATTCTAATTTGTGCCTGCCAGGAGGCTCTTTAATTCGCAATTTTTGTGGTTAAGTGTTGTGCACCCCTCAACCTCCTCGTGTACTGATCATTGTGAGCAGCTCTATATAATAAATGCTAATTATCTCAACTGATTGAAGTCGTATTGTCTTCGCCCAAAGATTTGTGGCGCACTGTTCTCTAAGCTCACCAAGTTGTTGTGCTTGATTCGAAAATAAACTTGGTAGCGGATATCAGGAGAACAGTTAGGGCCACCACGATGTGCAAGATTGGGGTGTACAGCACCAAATCACCACGGGATGCTAGGAGCTATACAGGTGTACCCAGGTCCGGTAGAGTACCATTTCCCTATACGCTGTCAGGTTTGTAGCACTCGTCATCGTGCCCGCGAAGTTTACCATTGGCATTAAAGCGACTTTTGAAGCAGTAAGTGTGATCCAGGCTTGGTGTTGAGGCTCACCAAGCTCAGGAAATCGTAACGCTATTTGAGCTTTCCGAGGTGGCATCACTTGATCAGCGCCGACAAGAGCTTCTAAGTACTTCTGAACATTTGTGAGGTAGTAGAGATTCAGTATCGCACTGGCATTAGACGTTTTACCAGTCAATTTGATTGATCCTTCCACACCACTGCGAATCATTTAATTTCTCGGTAGTACCGAGGTTATAGTTGATGTGCCGCAGCGCTGCGTTGGCGATTGGCAGCGGAACTGCACCTATGATCTGTAAATATCCTTTTTGCATAAAAGACCGTCGTTGGGAAGCAGACAGCACGTGGTGCTTCGAGTGCGTCATTAATAAGCATGTGGGGTCGAGAGCGAAAAGCGCTCGCGGTGATACAATGGCCAGGCGAAAGAGTCTATCCTTCCCCTTACCAGCGTCCCCAATGAGTCCTAACGGAAGTTAATGAAATCCAATTTTCCCAACGAGTCCTAACGATGACACACCTATAAACCTCCCACATGACTGTGAGCGACTCAACCTCCTTTTGTTAGCCGCAGTTTGATATACACTAGTAAATCGCTCTCATGAGTCTGTTCGCCATCGACATACTCAACCACGAGCGTGAAAAACTTGGCGGGGGCCATCGCCCAGCTCACTTGGCCGTTTAAAGCGTCGCTCAACTCAGTGTTATCGGATCGGAAGAAGCGCTGCGGCTCACGACTGCACGGAACGAGTAACTACTCGCTGCATGGGTCACCTGCACGACAGCATACACCAAAAGTACCGGAAGGTGATATTTGTACGAACGAGTGGTTACAATTCTGAGTTGACAACTCTTCGACAGTGACTTTTTCGAGTCTAACTAGTGTGTCCTGCGCAAGGATTCTTTTTCAAGTTTGCTTCTAACCAATAAAAATGGAGCCGAAACGTAGCTGGCGTGACAGTCAGCCTGTTTCGCCAGCCGGATTGCCGTGTAGTCATCGCATCCCTAGCATGATGGCATCCCGATTTCCATCGTCATTTATTCAACAAACAATGGTCAGCTCTCGAAGTGGTTCACATGGTCCATGCTTATCTATCGACAATATATTTTCCATAAAGACAGGCAATTCACAATGACATATCTTCTGATTGAATATCACCTTGATCTACCGCAAAGTCCGCGAAATTCCAGTTGCACAATTTGACAACTCCGCTACTTACCAAAGTCGTCTGCAAAAGTTGACGCTTTTGCTAGTGTCCCTTCAGTTCTCTCAAAAGCATCCATTTCAGGTTACCAGTCATTTGCGGTTGACTAATTGGTCTTATATCAGTCAATGGTATTCTTATGCTCCACAAAGCTAATGTATAGCCGCGTCGTCTAGCACTAGCTGCGCACCAAAGACAAAAATATTTAAGTCATAAGTTCACCCATTCAGCTTGGCAGCTCCACATTGTCGCCTTAACGTCGCTATTCTTTCCGATGGGCAACCTCACAGCGTTTGCATTAACCAGCCGGGCATTTTGTCAATAGTACTTATAGAATCAATACGTGATCAAATCACACTTCAGCTCGATGCGCATCCCAACAATTCTCATACCCTTTCTAAGTCCTTGACTGCATGTCGGTGAAAAAAGCGCCACTATATTGAGCTTTGGTTGATAAAGCGATTGCTGCGAGACAGCTTTTGGACCCAGGGCAGCAAGTGTTTTACTTGATGTCTAACTTTGCGGGTCGAGCGAAGAGTCGGGCGTATGAAAAGCGTTTGGCCGAGCCAAATTGCTTTCACGACCTGGCGGATATCACGCGGGGGATCAAGTGCATTGTATTACCCATTTCCTGAGTCTTTATGAATGTATCAGCGAGTAAGAAGCATATCATAGCAACTTTCATATTAAGTTGAATGAATTATCTTGATCATTGTCTGCGCTACACAATCAGAAGCATGAATGGCAAATAATTGAATATCTTTTGTACGTACGTACTCCCAACGTCTCAATTTTTTGATGGAATCGCCAGCCGGATTCTAGTGAGGTAGTATGATGTTAATAACAAAAGCATTCGTGATATCTAGGCAGCAGCTGAAGAAATTAAATGTCGAGCAATAAATATGGAAGTCATAATAAGAGAGGATGTCTTTCGGGTTGGGAAGCACATCACCCAACATCAGAAGACTAACTTCACGTGTTCATTGAAGGTAGCCAAAAGCTATCTATTGAGCTTTCGCCCTAAATGGTGATATTTACAGTGTATTATACTGCGGAAGCGATTACTAGATGCGAGAGATTATTAGCAAGTTTGGAGCAGGTACCAAAATTTTCGTACAAGACGAGAATCGCGATCCATAAATCTTCACGGTGAAGACGGTGATCTCGATAAGAAGAACTTTAGGACATTAGAAGCATTGGAAATAATTTAGAAGACCGTTAGGGAATGCGTCTATAAAATGAATGAATCTTATTTTTCTGAAAATCAACTCAAGGCAAGAAGAAGTTCATAAAGAGCGATACGCTCAGTGTTTGTTGCAATGCTAGCGAAACTAATCAGTTTCTGTAGCAATGATTGGGGAAGCATACGCGCCAGCTTGCATATATGGGCGACGATGACCATTTCCGTATTTCAATCAAACCTTGGCATGGGTCAACATTGTTGTTCGTTCCGAACGGGCCGAAAGACGGTATTGATGCACCTAGGCATTCTCAACCTTGTACAAGAGATGGAATGAGGATTACATATTTTCCTCCAAACGTTGTATTGTGGAAACAACCAATGGACCTGGACGTTATTTCTGAACTGAAGAAGCGCTACGAGTTTATGCGGACGAAAACATTCTTTCTTACCCGGATCGGACAGATAATCTAAAAATTAGTCTATAGGCATATGCACTGAATCTAGACGAGGCGCATCGGGAGTAGAATCTGAAAGACCAGTCTTTTGCTGAACGCGGCTAATTATGTTGTCAAAGCATAGCGTAGACGTCCAACGATCGAGTGATCGCGTCCTTCGCTTCTGTAGCGGGACCCGCCGAGCGGAAGCCGTATTCTGCACGAGGGAAAAGGACCGACCGTGGATGCGCGCGCATGAGAGCCGCCATACGGACAGTATCCAGCTGCTGCTTCTTTGCCTCGTCGAGGTTATTGGTGATAATACCGCTTTCCCCGGAACTCTAGAGTTCGGGAAAAGGACACGGTGTCTGCATGGCTCGAGCGGGGCTCACGTCGCACCGCTGGGTCACCTCTCCCTAATCTTCTTCCCATCCTGGGAAATGAGCATCCTACTCGTTGTCGACTTCCTCCAAATACTCGACGAGGTAATCCATCGCCCGTGGCGGGCGTGGTGCACGGTTGGGAGTCGACATCGCGTCCGTTTCGTTGGTCGTGCGACATCGTCGCTGAAAATGCGCTGCGCGGTACTGGGTTACCGAGAGCATGAGTTGCGCTTTCTTTGAAGCCGTGTACGTGCTGTCCGAAGTTGCACCGCGTGCAGGAGACGAAAAAGGGCTCTACCCGCGGGCATTCTCGGAGCCTGCGAGGCTGGGTGTATTCTGTGTACTCGGCGCAGAGATAACCAAGCAGAGAACTCGTGAAGAAGATCGTGATGGTGTTGTGGTGTCTACGACACGCGAGCCTCGTACGAGGCGACAATTTTATGTATTCACAATCTGATGGGGGAAGTGTAATTGTGTCCCGGTAGGAAGGGTATGGGCTACACAAGATGGTGTGACTACACAATGGTGCGGCTACATCTTACCAAGAAGTCAGTACGTGGCTGGAACAGCCAGTAGTTATACATCGATGTGGGTTAACTAAATAAATAGAGAAACCTCTAGATTAAGATATAGATGGCTTTGCCCATCAAATCGAAAATTTCAGGTTACATTTTTAACAAAAGGCAAATTAGCCATGGGTTAAGGTTGTAGTTTATCTTGGAGTAAGTAGCTTGCGATTCACTGCACCCGTACAGATTCTAAGTATAGAACGAAGGTCACCGACCTTAACCAAGCTTCCTCTAAGCGAAAGAGCTACGGCAGCCCCGCTGCACCGACTTATTGTATTAGATAGGCTAACGGCAACTGACAAATTTTTGGGCTCATCAGCTTGATGCAGTCGCGATTCTAGCGCGAACGCCTTCCCTAGAAATAAGTTGACACCAAACATCCCAGTCGACTCAGTGCCTGTGACCTGGCTGAGGAAACAAATCAACTCTTTACGATAAGTGGCGATATATTTTTCGCTGCTGCGAATCCTCCTGGCGGGATGCTGTGGCAGGGGCTGATTATACCACAGGAGCTGTCAATTGTGCCAGCGACGTTCAGCCGTCTGGTGACACAGCTGTTCATGCCGCATCGCGTCTTTACATTTAACGATGTACGTGTAAAGCAGGGAAATATGAATGCGACGAACAAACACAAGAGAAGTCTAACGTATATGCGCTGGAAACGCTGTTTGACAATAGCGACAAACATGTCTTTGGCGCCGATGATTTTTTTCTGAGTTTTCGCATTGAGGGCATGTTTGAAGGCAATTTCCGCAAAATTTATGTCACTGTAGATTCCAGTGCATCTGTCCCAATAGTACTTGATCTGGCTAACTACCTGTTAAAGTACGTGCAAACCGGCCGTTGTGGCACAAAGATTCACCAACATTATAGAAACAGGATCTACAACAATTTTGGAATGCGCGTTATATAGGTATCCAGATAAGCAAAGGAGAGTTTCATGGGTGTCACATTTTCGGCTCTTTTGAATACAAATCGATGTGTTCACGTAATTTTTGATGCTCTAGCCTTTTCATTAGGCTGCGTTCTGCTTCAATCAGATGTCAATGGGCTTAAACGCATTACCGCGTTTGTGTTTCGCCAAATTTTAGCAGCAAAGAAGAACTGCCTTACCCCTGCCGAGATGCTACTTGCGTTGAAGTAAGCCCTTGCCACGCTTCCTTTGTCTTAAACCATTAAAATATATATCCAGATCATGCGTCGTTGCGCACAGCACTTTTGTCACTTTATCTTTTACAGAAAATGGCGAATAGATTAACCTCCTTTGCCGAGTAAAGCTTTCAGGGAAGAATAAGCTAAGTGGTAATGATGTGGTTTCGCGTTCCTTCTGGTATAAATTGTCACATGTCACGGTAGTGACATCGCCAATTGATGAGATGATTCGTACAGTGTACGCTACGGAATATCCTGACACTTAGCTAATGCGTCGGATACCCGGCG